GAGGAGTGGGACAAAATCCCTCCTGGTGGCCAACTACAAGAAACGTCTGACCTCTGTGATTGCCAACAAGGGTTTTGCCACCAAGTACTATGTCATGTTTTGCAGAGGGGTCAAATACTAATTTCCCTCATTAAAATTCAAATCAATTTATAACATTTTTGACATGCGTTTTTCTGGATTTTGTTGTTGTTATTCTGTCTCTCACTGTTCAAATAAACCTACCATTAAAATGATAGACTGATCATTTCTTTGTCAGTGGGCAAACGTACAAAATCAGCAGGGGATCAAATACTTTTTTCCCTCACTGTAGGTTCGTATTAACGCTCGGTAATACAATTATTCTCGCAGTAACATTTACGGAGCATGTATCAGCGTGTTTATGTCAGGTCTTCAAATTCAGATCGCAACACAGAATACAGTTCTTATAAAAAAGATTATTACGCATGAAATCAGGAAAGAAACACACAACCACTTCTGCGTTAATTAATTTTATTCTAAACGAAACCTTAACTTTACATGCGAACTCTCAAGCTTGGAATTTTCAACACAGCATCAACACAGTAAACATCAACGATTGCGTTGTATCACTTTGGCAACTGCACATATGATTAATTCCACCGCGTAACGCGAGCTTAATTGGTGATAGAGAGAGTCGTTAAAACATGCATGTGCTCTATTCTAAACAAAAACCTTAACACTCTAATATGCAAATTCTTGTACTTGAAATTGTCAGCACAGTACTACAGGCGATGTTCATTCATTGATCCATCTTTTCAACCCTCAATAATCACGTTGTTAATTGGGTAACAGAACAATTGATTATTTCCTCTGAGTACCACGAGCATACGGAAAATACGAATAAAAAGTCCTTAAAAGTTCATCCGACGATATTCATGCGAAAAGGCAGTCAAAACAATTATTATTCTCTAAGGCACAAATATACGTAAATAGATTCATCGGCAAGATTATATAATTAAAGAAATGGCTTAGAGTAAGGGCGTGCGATGGTGTGCGTGTTCTCCCACGAGATCCTTAACTTGGGCCGAACTTTAATTAATTTGTGGACAAGATTGTCTGATAAGGAAACCGGTTTACACGCTCATTTCCCCGTGAGCGTAGAGTTTCGTGGCGAAGGTTTCAAAGGCTTAATTTATATTGATGAATCTATTGGTAATTTATGCGATTGGAAGTACAAATTACAAAAAAAATTAATGTACTTAAAACGACGTATTCTCATCACTCGGTGAGCCGCGACGCCTTCGCGGCCACTGATGGTTCACGTACTTGACGATTAGGCTTCTTAATGGTTCGTGTGTGTGTTGAGTGATATGAATTGGGTTGAGTGGACCAGTGTTCGGAATCAATTCTTTGCGTCAAGAAGACGCCAGGTGGTGTGGTGGCAGTGTGGGGCAGAGTGCATATCATACGAACAGCGGGGTTTTCTTCTTTCACGCGGTCGGCCAGAGTTCGGCCCCGCAGCAGGTGGACGAGTTGACACGGTGCGCTGTAGGCGCGATGATCCGTCGGCAGATGGCGCCCGCAGCTCGTCTGTTGCTGTTGGCGAAGGTGCTCGCCGTTGGCGTCGCTTGGTGGCGCTCTCTCTGGCGATGAGCACCCTCTGGTGGCTGATGCTGGGATTCTCGTCAGCTTAGCTATCACTGCAGTGACCCTTGAGAGTCGAGGTTCAGAGCGGAATGCTTTTCGAGCGATACTTCTTCTGATGGTGCTGCATTCGCACGGCGTAGCATGTCGCTAAACAGCGAGTCTCGCCATTCTGGGCGAGTTGTAGAGTCTTCTTCTGCGTCGTTGGTTGGCTGGTCTTCAGGTTGGTCGCCGTCTTCTTCCGCTGGCCGATGCTGAGCTGATCCGCTGGTCGCTGACTCTTTTGCTCACGGGCGGCTGGTCGGGCTCTTTCCGCCGCTGGATGATGAGCTGCGCCGCACGCGCTCTCTCCGTGGAGATGCGCACGATCACGCTCGCCGCTGGTTCGCTGGCACTCTTGCTCACGGGCGGCTGGTTGCGCTGCAGCTGGGAGCTGGCATTCGATGTAGAAATAAAAGTCTTTGAGCGATACTTCGTCTTTCAGCTCTGAACTCACGCTCGTTGATACATCGCTACTCGGCGAGCCTCGCCATCCTCAGTTGATCGCGGGGCCCCTTGGAGCCGGCCGCTCGCCGCCCTCTTCTGGCGCTCGCCGAGCTGTGCCTTGTTGAACTGTCGAGAGCTATTGTCGCTCACTCTCAAAACTTGAAAATTGTATTTGCACACCTCTTACACAACTCTGATAGCTTAGTACGATACAGCTTATCGCATTCCTCGATTCTGCAGGCGACTCAAAACATCAGGATGAATGTGGAATAACTTTCAGCGATACTCTATCGGTCCATGCTGAACTCAGCACCTAACATTACCTCGCCCCTCTTCTCTGTGGGACACAGCACCCATTGCTAATGTCTCGAGGCCATGCCTCGGAGCTGGCTTGATGTCCTCTTCCGATCTGCCGTCTCGCTGTCCCTTGCCGAGCTTAAATGTGAAATTCTCTCTCCTCTTTCCGCGTCTCTTGCGAGAGAAAAAAAAAACAGATGTCCACTCTGCGTTGTGGGGGGGGGGTGTAGTCCGTGTGTGTATCATTAAGTCCAGCCCAGTGTGTACAGATGGCCCCCGCGATAATAAATTTCCCTCGCTCTGGTGTTAAATACCTGCTCTCCCGCGCTGCGGGAAGACAAAGGCGGCCGGGAGGCTCCTTCCTAATGGAACACAGTCTATCTTGGCTGTGTAAGCCCGTCCCATTCCGCCTCATTCCTTCTCGATAACTCTTGATGTAACATTGCATCGTTATTATCTGTTTCTGTCCCCAAGATTTGTGATTTAACATTGTATTAACTTTTGCTCCCCGCCTGTATCCGAGGGTCCGGGCTATTATGTATGAGCTATTTATTTTATTTTATTCCTGATGTCCTGAGGTTAGAGAATTCGTTTTGACTTAAAAATAACTCTGACTGCCAGAACTATTCTTCAGGCTTCGGTCATTTAGTATCGAATTAATAAATGGGTAATGATTCACTGATGTAGATTGTGGCCTGGTTTTTAATTGGGGTGAGTGTGAGGATTGATAATGTTAGCTTATCCTTGTAGTTGAGTTCAAAACTTTAACCGTTGTTTTAATAGCAAAGAAGAGGACAATTGTTTAAACTCGCTTGTATTTACAAAAGGTGGTCCTTTTTTGAGCTGCCGTTTTGTATGTGTAAGATGTGCGTGTTTGAGCTGCCGCTCTCGCTCTGGCCCCTCCCCCCCTCCAACCGTATTTCCTATTTAAGCTTCTGTTCATCCCCCCCCCCTCTCTCTGCCTCCCTGTCCGTCTTTCCTCCCTCCTTATCTCTTGGTGGACTTGTATATGTATTTCTACTGACCGTGTACCTCTTATTTTTCATTCTATCTATGCTGGTATGTGCAATCCAAAGGTTGAACACGAAATTTAACACTCTTCTGAAATTTGTGGTCCGCCAGGAAGTGTCTAACTGTGTTGTTGGCCTGACTGGATGTGCTTCACATAATGTTTTTTCAGGTTTGTTGAATTCTCGTCTCTCATCTTTTTGTTGTATTTACCTCCGTGATTTGTTCTTGACACCTGATGAAGATCGCTTGCGTTGTGACCGAAACGTCGTGATTGTTTTTTGTTTTAATATTATTTTATTGTATTTCTACATACGTGACTTTACCGAAAAAACCAATGAGTAATTTTATGCAGTCACGAAAGCTTTAATACTTTATTATTGACACATATATTTACGCGATCTAACCCAAAAAACCTCTTATGGATATTGGTCTCAAAATCCTACGTGTTAAATTCGGTTATAACTGTTTCTGTACTGTACGCGATATTGTTGCTGCTTGCTAAGACATCTAACTCGGTTATAACTGTGTTAGGTTTTGTACTGTACACGATATTCACGCAAAATGTTTTCTCATTTCCTGTTTCAGAATATGGCTTCAGTTTGGAGTTCGACAAAGCTGACCCAATACCAGCCAGCAGAGGTATTTATTAATTCTTAATTTACCGGTTTATGAACTGACCATCCTTTGGTTCATGCGCTTCTTGTACAAATTCCGTGAGTAATGCAAAAATGGGTAAATTATTATTTTATGACAGTAATTTTAAGTTCAAAACGTGATTTCATGAATTACTATTGTTTTGCCAAATATAGTGCCTAGCGTAAATCCTTGTGTATTAGATACATCTTCATCTAGCAATTAATAGACCATGGTTGATAAATATTACAATGATAGATGAATCTATGAAGATGGAAAACAATTATGATGACGTTCTCTGGTCTGACACTGGTGAAACTAGGCCCTAAAGAAGGCTGTCTCTGGTACAGCTATTTTAGTACAAGCAATGGACAGGAAGTACAAGATCAATGGACTCGCATAATGCGCACGCATAATGTACGTTGATTTATTAATCCTTCCCCCCCCCACCTTGGACAAGAAGAGTGCACAAGTGTTGTCATCACATCTACGCCTCTATATAAGGAACGAAACAGGAGGACTTCTCCACAAATCTGGCTGTCACCTGATGAAGCTAGTTGTGATTACTAGCAAAACATATTCTTTGGGTCTTTCGGTAAAGTCACGTAGATTGTTCAAAGAAAATAACCATCTACGTGACTTTACCGAAAGATCCAAAGAATATGAATTCCTGCAGTCACGAAAGCTTTAAGTCAAGATTTACTAGCAAAACACCGTACACAGATTGTAAATGTTGTGGCTTGGCTCCCCAACACACGGGTGTGCTGTACTATTGATTGATTCGGCATGTTCTGTTTACGTGACAACTCTTACTAATTGGCTGTCGGGTGATGGCGGGTTTGACTAGACATTTCTATATTTACGAGATCTAACCCCAAAAAACTGTATTATAGTAGTAATTGTGTTTTATCGTTTTTCAGAATGTGGCTGGATCCCCGTAGCAGAACGCAGAGTGAACAGCCGGATCGTGGGAGGCTACGAAGCAAGGCTCTGAGAATGGCCCTGGCAAGAGAGCCTGCACAACTTCAACAGACTGACCTGTGGGGGCTCCCTCTTCAGTGACCGCTGGGTTGTGAGTGCTGCTCATTGCTTCCAGAGGTGAGCGTTTCTGCTGCTTCACATGTATTGTGAACACTTTACTCCGAGCTATAAATGCTCTGATACGTGCATTGTCCTGGTACTTGTTCGCCTTTTGACGTTCTCTGGTCTAACACTGGTGAGACACGAGGCCCTAAAGAACGCTGTCTCTCGTGTAGGCCAATACATTTAAAAGACAATGCATATATTATCTGAGCATGTTTGTTTGCATGTTCACCACAAGTACGTGTGGTTAATACAAACTTGATTCATTGCTAAAGATATCTATTTGGTGTTTGAACATCTTAACACCTGTTTTATTGCCAGAAAGGGTAAAACCTATTTTTCTTTGTCATACTTTAAAAGTATGCATTTGGTAAATGTTACACACAGCAGACAAGTTGAATAATCACAACTTGTAGCACTTTAACAGACCGCTTTTGGGATGAAGGCCTTTGCACACCATGTTGGTCATGGGGTATTGTTTGACCATACCTCACCACACTGGTCACGAATAACGTTATCTGTGGTTGGGAATCACACTTGGGGAATTAAAACGTGGGTCAACAGGTCCGTAAGTGCTGTGTGCTAACGAATGAACCACCGCTCCTCCCACTCACACAATGAATCACAACACCATTAGAAGATATTTTTGCAGAATTTTATTGCAGAAAGAGGCATGAATATAAGTGGTGGAGGCATTAAGCATCTCATTTTTTTCACATTCAGGTGTGATTTTACATCGTGCACTTGCAATTGTGATGCGTGTCGGCGCCACGGTCCAAATTTTCTTACTTTGTAAAATGACTCACACCAATTACTCAGTTGAGGACCCTCCTGAAAAGGTGCTGAGACTCAATGAGGCTTACCTTGGTAAAAAAACATAATGCCCTGTGGTATTTGATGCTGACTGTCGTGTCTGTATTTACCTCCCTAGTAACAACCCAAACACCTGGACGGTATACCTGGGCTTGCACTCTCAGAACGATCTCAGCGCTTCAACTGTCGTGGCCGGAAGCGTCAACAGAATCCTCATCCACGAGTGCTACAACGGAAGCAGCCATGACTATGACATTGCCCTCATGGAGCTGTCAGAACGTGTTTCCTTCATCGATTACATTCAGCCAGTTTGCCTCCCACCTCGCTTTCAGAAGTTTCCCTACCCAGGGAAATCATACTTCATTTCTGGTTGGGGAAAACTTTTTGAAGGTGGTAAGTCCATAGGTGAAATATTCCAAACCTGGGAAAACACGTGATTTCAGAAGATACTTTGACCACTAAATAGAGCATAGTTTGAGATATTATTTAGTATCCATATCTCAGTGTCTATGGTGTAAGAACAAAGCAACCACAGTATTGTCATATTTTGAGCCTCCACACGACCCGATTAACATTCTAATAAAATCGATCTTTTCATAGAAAGCAGTTCCCTTCTGTTTAAACTCAGGATTACAACCCTTGAGTTGTTTACGTTGGGTTAAATGTAGCACCTCTAATATACAACATATACAAATATTCAAAAAAATCCATTGATATACCCACGATTCAAGTCATGTATCGTGATTTTAATGTATGAATCGGTGCAATGTTATTTTCCGATGACACAAGTTAAACATAATCGATAGTTGAACATTTATTTTATTTCGGGGGAATGTTTGTATAATGAAAAACAAATATAATATACACATCTCTTCTACTGAACAATTCCTTTGATTTAATGGAGGCCCAAATCTTTGTTAGGAAACATTTTTTTGTAAAAATCCATTGGAATAATGATGGCAGTTGGGTAACAGAGCTCTCTGGTGCTCGAGGAATATCTTAAATAGGCATTAAGCTGATATACAGGTGATATGTTGTTAACATTTAAATGTACCACGATCTAAGTCTTGATGAAATAAAGTACTTCACTTTAAGATGTTTTCTTGTTCGTGTTTTTGTTTTTTTGTTTGTTGTGGTTGCACCCGATTCAAGAGCCAAATGGCTCACAGGGCTCTACCAAAATAAACAAATAACTGAGACTGAAACACGGTTTCCAACACGAATTCTTGTACTTAACAGGCTACCCACCCGACCAGCTTCAGGAGGCTTCAGTAGAGATCTTGAAGACGTGCGTCACCCCAGGGCCGCAGGCCTATAGCCCATCTCTAATCACCAACAGGATGCTCGAAGGAGGGGTGGACACCTGCCAGGTGAGCTGCATAACAACCAACAAGATGCAACTCTCTTTCCTAAAAACCATCTGGAGCACATGACGACTATGAGTCCAATTATATTCCACCAGGGGGAACTTGGAAAGCAAACTTCTCCAGTCAATTCACAAACAAATTTTGGTGCCAATTTACTGGAAGGAGCGTGGGTGGGCCAACATCAACTGGACCTTCAACAACAATGTCCTCATTCAGGATCCCAGTCCCATTGAACATTTAAAGCTGGCCTCAGTTGTACTGCTCTTTGCACTGAACGTTTAAACCTAATTATCGGGCCTTTTGACATCACCTCTTTGGTATCATGACATGTCATTGCTTATACTGGATCACTGTAATCATCGCTCCATCAGGCCTCCTTGTTCGTCAGTCAACTTCTAAGATTGGTGTCGTGTGTGTCTGTTGCAGGGAGACTCTGGGGGTCCCTTGGTTTGCCAGGACTCAAACGGCCGCTGGTACCTCTCAGTCCACCGTCACCACAGAAGCCGCTGGTTCCGAAGAGGAGGAGCTCAATCTGCTTCTACATCGCGTCTTGTAGGGATTTATTTCTTTATAAAGATGTACATCTTCATGAAGGACATCAACAGCGCTACGATGAAGACCAACTCACAAGGTTTGTGTGTGTGTGGTCAACCTGCCGTAGCGCTCACCAATAAATCAGAATCAGTTTTTTTAGCCTGGAAAAATCCGATGAGCTATGAAGCTCTTAAATTTCGATTTAAAGCTTTCGTGACTGCAAGGATTAATATTCTTTGGTTCTTTCGGTGAAGTCACATAGAATGAGAATAAAATAATAAATTGATAAAATAAAATAACACAATAATATTCTCACGACGTTTCGGCCACAACACAAGCGCCCTTCATCAGGTGAAGGGACGAGACTGTCTCGAGCGCTGTCCTCCAGACAGTCTCGTCCCTTCACCTGATGAAGGCCGCTTGTGTTGTGGCCGAAACGTCGTGAGGATATTATTGTGTTATTTTATTTTATCAATTTATTATTTTATGAAGCTCTTGTTTAACATGTCCAGTAAAATATGTACACGATAAACTTTATTACACACCACACACACGGCTAACTCATCACTCGTGTAAAATAAACACGGGCCGTCCATAAATGACGTCTAGCATCTAGTGGGGGGGGGGGGGGGGGTCAGACATTTGTGACGATGTGTGACGGGGGGGTGGGGTGGGTTTGAGAAATGTGACGTCACATCAAAATGCGCCACTTTAAATAAATATAGAATTGTTATAACACGAATTTTTACTTATTAATTTTCATTCTTAACTATTTGATTATTTTAATTTACTAAGGTCACCTTTTATTTATTCCATGAAGGAGCATTTTGCTTTTCCATGGGAGAATGGAGCAGCTTACATTTTGAATTTGTTTTAATGATTGTTATGAAACATTTTGATTCTAATGATTCTACCAGGGTTTTTCATTCTGTGGAATGAATATATGATTGTTATAATTGTACTCTACATTTTGCTTTGTTATACCACAAAGTTTAAAGTATTTTTTTAATAGTTATAATTACTTTTTATATTTTATGATTATAAGATAATTTCAATATATTCTGAACATCTGCAGTTTTAGTTAGACGTTGAATATTTTCAAGTGAATTTTATGCTAAATTTAAGCTTTCCAAAGCCTCTGTTTTGTATACGTGTTTTCTCCTATAACATCTGAGTACAGCGCCACATTAAATACGCCCTACAATGACAATAGTTTAAAGCGATTAAAGCATGTTTTATTTTCAAAATTGAAATATAATTTGGGGGGGGGGCAGAGTTTTGTTACATCATATTTGAGGGGAGGTCTGACTTTTTGTGACGAGGGGGGGGGGTCTAAAATCGTCCAAAATCGCGTGGCGTCATTTATGGACGGCCCCATAGCACAAGCGAGAGAACGGGGGGGGGGGGGGTATCTGTGTGGGGGGCACAGTGATGGGTAGAGGAAGACTTAGTGGTACCTCTCAGTGATTGGTAGAGGGAGACGCGGTGGTGGCTCCTCTCAGTGATGGGGAGAGGAAGACGTGGTGGTACCTCTCACTGATGGGTATAGGAAGAGGCGGTGGTGGAACCTCTAAGTGATGGATAGAGAGGGAGACGCGATGGTACCTCTAAGTGATAGGTAGAGTGAGACGCAGTGGTGGTACATCTCTGGGTGCTGCTGCGCAGGGGGTCGACGCCGCAAGCGAGGAGGTCGTGACCCGGAGGAGGAGGAGAGCGCTGCCAAGCGATGGCGGTCGATGGAGATGGACCACAAGCACAATCTGTGCATGCGGACGGTGGTTTTTGGAGGTGAGTGGAGTAGAGAGGTGAAACATGAAAGTTCAGAGAGTGTGTGGAGATAGATGAGATGGGAGAGTTTGGAGAGTGTGTGGAGTAGAGACAGGAGAGTTAGGAGAGTGGAATGGAATAGAAATTTGGTGAGGTAGGAGAGTGTGGAGTAGAGTGAGATGAGACAGGAAAGTTCGGAGAGTATGTGGAGTAGAGATATGAGGTGAGGCGGTCTGTACCCGTACCTGAGGTCGCATCTGCACCACCCCCTTGATATATTATCTTTCTCAAACCTTCCAAACGGTTCCTCCTTTCCTGCCAAATCTCTCCCCTCCAGTCCTCAGCCAATTCCCTGCCTCCTCCTGCCCAGCTGCAATCCTGCCGCCTTCCATCTTCACGAGCCCTTCTCTCACTCTCCCCCCCCCCACACACAGTTAATTGCATCTCTGCGCCACCATGCATTCCTTCGTGTAAATTCTAAACTGAAGCCCACTGAGCAATAAAGCTCTTTTTCGACCTGGCCACAAATGATAGCTCAAAGAATTGGCTTATCGGCATGTGGTAATGTATAGCAGCCAAATAATCGAAACGCAAATTAATTCTACATGTGGAGGCAAAAATCGGAGGACCCGGAGAACAATTCACGTGGCCACGGGGAGAACGTACAAACTTCAAATATGCAGGCATCAGGGTTGGGATCAAACCCACGATATCCTCTATCACAGGCGAGGTAGTTAACATCGAGCCACCGGGGTGCCCCTGGTCCACGCATTCTTACCTCCAAACTGAGACTCTTGTGCCCCGCACCCCCACACCCCCCTCTTGTGTGTGCAGACCCTGACAAGCGGACAGCGACCAAGCCTGCGGCCCCACGACACAGGTCCCGGAGCCCCCTGAGAGTGCGATGCTCCGTGGATGAGGAGTCGATTGGGTCCCGCATGTGCACCGTCAGCATTGGTGGTGGGGAGCAAGGAAGAGGTGGACCACGCCGACAACGTTCCCCACGTTCCCCACTCTGCCGCTCCCATCCGGTGGATGAGAACCACGATGGGCCGAGTTCCAAGCGGCCATCGTGAGTAGAGCTGCGAGTGCACACGAGCGTGTGTGTGCATGTGTACATGCCGAGCAGGGTGCAGGGTGGTGGAGCAGTGGGACCCATTGCTCTACAACAACACCAGGTTGACCCGAGTTTATTACCAGCCATGGCTAACATCAGTGACCAGCAATAATTGAACCCGTCCCGAGTCTCTCCTAGGTCGACTCAGCTTAAAAAAGATATCACCTGGTAATGTATGTAAGCATTAGCAGCCAAAGATAGCCAGATGTAGTGCTTGTCATTGTGCGATGTTTATATTTTAATATCTCGCTGACAATACTTTGCCCCAACAGCCTTCTTCGTAGGGCCATTGCCAAAAACGTCGCCTATTATATATTTCTTATTTTAAGGCCACAGTGTTATTGACTGACGAGTTTCTTCTCTATCCCACACGTTGGTGGGATGTAGTCTACCAGCGACTTGTAAGAAAGAAGTTAAAGCCCTGGGTGTAGCCTTGACACA